TAAAAAATTTATAAATTTAACAGTACTTTTTATAAAATAGGAAGGGAACAGTGATCAAAGTGCCACTTTTTGTTAAATTTTTTATCCAAATGCTATGCGAATAATATTTTTTATCAGACTGCCATGTGTCATAATTTGCTACCACTGGTAGCGAATTTCGTGGTCAATGATTTTGTGACACGTGACCATATTGCAGACCAAATTCGCTAACGAATTATGACACGTCAACTTTTTCTTGCGAAAGTTGTCACGTGTCATAAAATCATTGACGAACGTAATTTGTTACCACTCTTAACGAATTACGACTGCTTTGATAAAAAAACACTATTTACGTAACATTTGAATAAAATTTTTGCCAAAAAAATAATATTTTCGTCACTGTTCCAATAGAAAGCCTAACATAGTATCTGATATCCTTGGAGGGGAAAAAGATTCATTAAAATCTGTGCTTCCTACGTGCCACTTTGTTAGTGCTCAAAGATTTGATTTGATTTCCACGGGTTGTCACTTTATTCTTCAAAAGATCAATTATGAATTGACCTTTTCCTGTTCATGTTCCAGAATAATTTTCAGTACACACCATAGAGCATAGTCGTCTATGTTTTTAAGAGGAAAAAAATAATGTCTGTTTTAGCATACTGTTAGGTTTGCTGTCTCCTAAAAATAATTCAGAGTACATGTACATGGCATGCCCTCTTGTGTGTCACACTCTGCCACCTAAATTAAATGACACATCCTCACCCACCCTCACTCTGTTACAATTTTGTTTGTGCCATCTGAAAAAGCTGCCTCAGTTTCTAAAATCCTTAAGCCCAAAAATTAAAGTACTTCACTGAAAATATCTAATATCTATCTATCTTTTTGGGACAACAATGCATGTGTTCTTATCAGTTTTAGAGCTGAACTCCAACATATGCTAGAAACCCTGTTGGCTGGTCCTGTAGATATTAAAACCTCGAAAAGAATGAAACTAGTGGATGGACATTAACCACTCCTCGTTTTCCTTGCTGAACTGGCTTTTCTTGTCTTAGCCAAGATTTTATTTCAAGAGATTCTTTTGTCAAAGCATATAAAGTGTTAAATAAATTATAGACGACTGATGAGTGATTCTAATACAGTCTAAGAATTTTAATAGTTGTTTTTTTACACGATTACATTTTTTCAGGGATGGTTTTAGCATCACTCACATTTTTCAGATGTTATGAGCTCTGCGACATTGCAGCTCCGAAAGAGATATTTCTCTAGCGTAAAAGCAAAAGAAAAAAAGTCACGAAGAGTAATTGTAAATTGTTATATCCACACAAAATCAATGTCATGTATTAGTAAGTAATTTGTCAAATAACTTAAGATATGATATTCTTTTGAAATATGTGAATAACCTTGAAGCAATCTCCTTTATTTTGTTGAAATATTTTCTGAAAAGGAAAAAAAATAAAAATACTAAATTGGTAGAATGTGTTAATGATTTTTTTTTTCATAAGATGAGTTGAATTTCATTTTCATATTTTGATGGATGAATAGTTTGTATCACTTTATTATCATCGTGTTTAAATTTGGAATTGTATCTTCTCATATTAAAATTTCACGTGATTGGATCATGTAAAATTTTTGTATCTATCTTTCTTCACATGCATTAAATAGGTCGGGTCTAATTATTATTAAAGAAGAAAGAGATAGACACAAAAAATTCACATGATCCTCTCATGTGAAATTTTAACATTCCCTTTAAATTTAAAGTTATCTCCAACAATTCTAAAATAACGTCGTTTTGAGATTTAAAGAAAAAAATATATGATATTTAAAAAAATTTACTGTCCTTATTATATAACGAATTTTACTGTCCTCATTATATAACGAATTTTACTAGAATATCATATATTTTTTTCCTAAAATCGAAAACGACTTGGTTTTAGAGTTTAGGGAAAATGCAGGGTAATTTGAAAATTTTACTTTCCTCCTTATACAATGAATTTTATTAAATTCCCTTGCATTTTTTTCCCGTAAACCCAAAAATGATGTTGCTTTAGGGTAACAAGAGACAATTTTATTTATTGTTACAGAAGAAATATTAATCCCTTAATTAAATTTTGTAATATTTTTGATTTTTTTTGTTTAATTAATTTACACCGTCAAACTCTTTTTTTTTTGGAGTTACCCAACCCTAATTATCTCTTTGAGACGAGTTGGCTCCCTCCGGTATCCCCACGAGCTTCGACTCTTTGAGCCGGCTATGGGACTAATCCGGAGTGCGGGGGAACAGTGATGGCTAAAGGTTCAGCCCCCTCCCCAAGAATGCATTCAGCGGGAATCGAACACATAGCCAATCCCACTAACTCAGCGCCAAGTTACCAACTGAGCTGCACCCCATTGGGTACCGTCAAACTCTTTTGTATATACTGGCATTTACTAATATCTTAACAAATCATTATTTGTCATTACCTCATTCTTTAAGTAACAAAAACAAAGAAAATAAATAATAATATGACTAAGTATTAGCAAAAGTTTAATAAAACTTGCTAACAATGCATATCATTTTTCCAGTATAAACCAAACAATAATTTCTCGCCAGCCTCATAATAGTACAATTTAGACTAATTATGTATTTATATTTAGGAAAATTGTTCTGTAACAATAAATATGAAGAAAAGAGAGCTTAATTAATTCGTAAATCAAACTCAATTAGAAAACAAAGGAAATTAATCCGTAACAGGTTGTGGCCAGCTTGGGAACACTGATGTCGACTTGAAAGTTTAACATATTATATACTTTTTGAAGCTTAGCTTACTACATCATGGTCAATTCGGAAATGCCACCGAGAAAACTCCATAATTTTGATTTGATGCGTGGAAGCTTGTGGTCCATATTATCCCCGTAAAAAACACGTTGGCCTTCCGTGTTCCAATCCTTTCAATCATGTCTCTCCTTGCTTGGACGTGTCCCTGGGATGATATCTACAATCTAAGTGAAGCAATTTTACTAAAGCCAAGCTTGCCTTGTTATCTGATTTAACATAAAAGAGACTGGATAATAAATATACTTGTTACATTGGGGCGTTGCTTTAATCTACGTACGCGCACCACACTAACAAAAAACGTTCTCATAAAGCACCGACCAACAAAAAGGTTACAATTTTTTTTTTATTATCTGTGTATATTATAGTAGAGGTCAGCTGCTGGTGACTTAATATCAACTCAATCTTATAAAGGGATTGTGTTAGCAAGTACATCGCCAATATCTAGGGACCACTGGCTTGTTTATTTCCTATGGTGTTGCCATTCGCATGGATATTACAGCTTGTGCTAAACTCTACTAAAACTGTCTTTCGAGTTCAAAATTGAAATGATCTTGTTGCGCTAGGCCCCAGATATCGGGTCTCATCCATCGCATGGTTTGGCCCAATCATATGGTCTAGTTACGGTTGAGACTTATTGCTTTCTCTAAATGGTCCTCATAGCTATTGTAAATGTCTGTAGCAATGAGAGAGATTCAGCAGTCTTCCTCTTTTTTGTTTTTTGACCAAAAATAGACTGCTTATTTTATTTTGAAATAGAACATTTAGCGCGCAATCCAGTTATGTAAACCAACTCTGTCTCTAAATATGGGAACGTTTCAACGACTTAGAATTGAAAGCATTCTGTTACTCATGCAAGTAGAATAGAGGAATCGAACTAAAAAATGTGAGGGAGTAAAACAAATGGAAATATATATATATATATATATATATATATATATATATATATATATATATATATATATATATGTGGATTTTTTTTTTTATAAAAAAAGATAGAGAAATCAAAATAAGAATTAAGACCATACAATAAGAAAAGAGAATAATATTAAAGGGACAAAATTGACAAAACAAAAAACGAGAAACCAAACTGAAAGTACATATGTAAATGATTAACCAGAAAAAGTTGCCTTAATTAAACAGTTCGTTATACTAAGATAAAACCTGCTGCGAACAATCAGAGTGTCCATTGCTTTTTGTATTTATTTTGAATTTATTAGACTTTCCTGCTATCATTCATTTTTGTTCAGATCCTTCAGTGCCAACGTCAGCAAGATGCAAACCATAACATTCCACTTTAAAACCACATTCCAGTTTTAAATCCTTGCCAGGCCGTTACACGGCATTGGTAGGAAGACTGAGACTTAAGAACGACTACTTATCCTAGTAGGCAAGCTATTAAGTATCTTGAGCATTGCACATTCTCAAGTTTCCAGTGTCACGCGGAATTGTAAAGACCAAGGATTGCTTGCTTATGTTCGATATGTTTGAATTCCATCGGACAAGATGGAAATTAATGCCATTCAAATGCAAAGCAAGCATGGCTTTTGTAAATAATAAAATTTAGGGATCCGTCAAGGCTGTTTTGTATTGATTTTTTTTTTTACAAGCTCTCAATTTTTGCATCTACATTTTGAGAAACTGGGTCATTACACGGGAAAAAAAATATTAAATGGGCAGTCAGATATGTTCTACAAGATAATGTCCTACAGCGAAGAATTTTTTTCGAGCAAGCTGACAATAATCGGCATGTCACAATTTAATGGTTGCACAGCTATTTGCACTAAAAAAGTTATAGCCGTACACGACTGCAAATATGAGTGCATATAAGTTTGACATGGAACGGTTGCAATGGGACCGCATAAGTTCAAATGTAGTGACATACAGTTATGCTCAGACGTGCTAGTAACGTCACGCAAAGTGTCGGCAAGCCAAAGATCATACATACAAATATGGTGGAAGGAGTTATAATTACAATTACCTCTTACAATTACGTTGGATTAAAATCAGATAAACAGTTACAAAATAACATCAAGTAAAAGCCATTGATTTAATAAATAAGAAAAATTAAAAACATATCAAAAACAATAAACTAAGAACATATTTTAGAAAATAAAATTCGCTAAAAGTACCAAAAGCTTAAGGGATGATGTTATAACAGGTTCAGATTTACAACCTACAATATAACAGAACAGAGAGAGAGAGAGAGAGAGGAACAATCAAATTACAGTCAGAGTCAGGAACAGAAAACCTACCCAGAAAGCGTAAAAAAGGAGGAACAAAGAACATGGGAAATAAAAGAAATAGAGAATTAGAGAGAATAGCGGCACAAATTGTTGTTACCAAAGAGAATCAAAGATCAGAAGAAATTGTGGAAGAGACACAACACAAAGTAGAAAGGAAAATGGAGTCCCTTCAGGTTCAAATATGGATTATTTGCCAAAGATGGGTAGGACAGTTAGCACAGTCGTAGGAGATGGTGGATATGGAGTTCATTCCGTTTGCAAAGGACGTCATAGCTGCTCCACACTGTTGGGATTTCATATATCTCTTTCAAAACAATGCCCATTTTTGTTTTAAAAAAAAGAAGTCCAAGCTGTTAATTCCGCCTAGGACTGTCAATAACCGCCATGACCCATGATAAAAGCAGCCAGCACGCAGAACCCTCAACGCCATGCATGTCTGATGGCAGTTTGCTCAAATTCTGCCACACCACGGCGGGAAAGCAGCTATTTGACAACACTATATGAATTAATCTATTATTCATCACTACTTCTAAGAAGAAAATGGAAGGAACACTCATTCCAAAAATAGTCATCAGGTGGGAGGAAAACATAAGGAATAGCATTGAAATGATATTGGATACCAGTAAAATGCCTTCAATAGTAATCCTTCATGCTAAGAAATGCAAACAGCTATACACCAAATACTGTAATTTGACTACGTAGTTCCCCAATAAAGAGCCAAGAGAAAAAGCCTAATACCACTAGTATCACAGAGTGCATGAAGGGCGAAACCAGCATAAATAAATTCACAGGTTAATTAATAGATTATGTTCAGCTATCGACTAACTGGCCTTGGTAGCTCTACCTGCAGACATAAGTTAATACCTCGAATGAATGGCCATGGTCACCATGCCAAAAAGCCTAGTTACATAGAAAAATAAACAGGTAACACCACCATAATGCATTTTTCAATTGTCGTCGTCATCCTCACCGTCATCGTCATCATCCTCTTGCTCATCATCTTCGGAGTCAGCCTCATCCTTTCCCTGCCAATGAGAACTATACTGTAATACATGACTATTTCAAAAATTGTAACGTCCTTCATTTAAAATGCATAGTCTGCATGACTTAGATCTTTCAGAATGCTTTCTAGAAAATTTCACAAAATAATTGGACCTTCAATGCAAATTGCACGTCAGTTTGTCAAAGCATTGCACCCCTAAAAGCATTGAACTATTGGTGATCCCTCAAAATCACCTCAAGTGATTAAACAACATACTCTCAATTCAAATTTCAAACTAGCTCAGTAACTGACATCCTGAGCTCCATAACCATTGAACAGGAACAGAAAGAAAGAAAAACTAAAGAGGAGGAAATAGGAATATACACCAAGCAAAACACGCTCCAACCTATGCATTGAGTAGTTAAATAGAAAATAAAACCCAATAAAGAATAATTTCACAGTTCAAGCAAGCTTGAAAAAAGAAGCAACCTCTGCCTGCCCCATGACAGATAAATATTCAACTATGGATATCAGGGAAGTGATACAAAGACCTCATATCTATAATATCATATCAAACTTCAACCAATTACCAATCCAAAGTAGGCAATGAAGAAACAAAAATAACAACCAGTTAGCAAACTCGCCCTAAGTTTTTTGTTATCAAACATCTTAAAATGTGTTAACATTCTTTGTTGTTTTCGGATCATGAATATGATTACAACTTATAGCATTCTGTCATGTCCTCACTGAAAATCTCTAATGTTATTAAAAGGAATTCACATCACATTCGTCATTTGACAGTCAAAACTCCAAAGTTCCATATTCTTTATATAAACAAGAATACCATACAACCAAATGGTGGTAGCTCAGTTGGTAGCAAGAGAGCTGAGTAAGTGAAAAAGAAAGGACCTCGGTTCGATCCCCACATGCCACCTTTGGGAGAGATTTAAAATTAAAGCATTCATTTCAACCCCTGGAGTTCAAAATATCACTGCTAGAAAGGCACTTATACATGCTCAACAATGACATGTGCTGCCATTAAAACTTTGTGTCTTTATATTGAATATTAAATTTGAGTGCCCACTGACTGAACTTGGATGGATTCAGCATAGATCCAGTAATTGTCAGATTCCATAAAATTATTAAAAGCAATACTCCAACAAATTGTCAATCACCTATATTTTTCTGAGAAAAATGAAATTTCAATTACCTCATCATCAGCTTCATCATCAACATCCTCTTCATCAGGCTCCTCCTGTAAAAGGAATGATGAACTACTGTTAGAAACAAAATGGAAGAAAAGATGGCAAAGTAGAAGGAATGATAATGTGAAATCTCACGTATAATTGTTATTCATCAAAGAGATGATACAAAAACTGAAAGTTAACGTACATTGTTGAAATAGGTGAGTGGATTTGGCCATAAATCATCCTTGATTAATTCTGCAACCTGCAATTTAGATTAAAATATTACACTGGGACAAACGAAGAAGAAGAAAGAACAAACTAAAGAAATTTAATGATTGTAATAGAGAGCCAGCAAAACCTGTGGCAGGGAAGCACAAATCTACAAAGAATTTTACAAAACCAGAACAAAAATATACCTCATCATGGATGTCATCCATATCATCTTTCTGCTCACAGTCACTAAACCAACTAAAGAAGCTGCATTTATTAGAACAAGAAATTCAAATATCAACCATTTGTTCTGTCAAGTGTTTACAAAAGGAGTTTCAACAACATAGCACTCCCCCATTGAACCTCGAGTCCTCGACTAGTGAGGATAGTTCTTCCACGCAGCCTAACTTTTGCCAATTTGCAAAGAGGCTATTACGCGGATTTGAACCCGTGATCTTTCAATCACTTAAGAGCATTTAACTATTGCTCCATGTTCACCCTCTTACGAGCTACAACAACATATTTCCCTCAAATATATTAACTAACAATTAAAGAACAAGAAAAGCTTCAACCCTCATACAGGAACGAAGCTTAATTAAAAGTGTGATATCTGCTCCGCCTACGTATACAATGTCTTGCTTATAGCTACCCCATTCATATGGTCAGAGATTTGATATTGCCATGCAAATGTTTTGGTGGAACAATATACAGCCAGGTCAAGGTATTCATAGGAAAAGCTGGAGGCAGATGTGTATTCCAAGGGATGAGGTTGGCCTGGGTTTAAAGGATTTGCATGCATTCATCCTTTCAATAATTGCAGAACAAGGCTGGAAACTTCTGATTGGCATATAGACACTTTTCTACCAACTTCAAGGGGAGAACTGCAATTACGTTAATAGTGTCTGCATTCGTTATATAGATACTAGATAGTGTCTAGATTCATTGCATAGACAAATCAAATTATGTTAGGATATCAATACTCTTTGTATATATTACTTTTAGCCTATGTAATTCAGTCTCCAGTGTTTAGTCCGACACATGGCTTTCATCATATGTCTCTTGTTTTCTATTCTCTTAACATATACAAAACTAATATGTACGCATGAACAAGGCTTTCTTTGTTTATAATATTACTGTTCAAAACATTAAAAAAGAAAAAGAAAAAATAAACCGAAGACACAAACCTAACATCAATAGGAGCCCGCTTGTTTCCTTTCTTCTCATGATCGACTCCATTGGGAATTCCCTGCACATTTAATGATTGTTTTTCAAATCAAAACAAGCAAAATAAAAACTGTAGATGCTGCTAGGGGAGAAAAAAGTGAAACTCATAGCCTTACCTTGCCCTCTTTCCATTTTATGGGGGTAGCAGTAATCTTTGTTGTACCTTCTTCGAGGAAGGTAAAAGTTTTTGTAAGCTTTGAATCCTCAAAATAGGAATTGGGATTGAAATTCTGAACAAGAAATAATTAAAAAATGGTTATTTTTGTCAGTAGAATCTGGTTATTCTTCAACGAAGAAAACAGTTCACAACTTTTCATAGACCATAGATTTTAACCAACTAAAAATGATTTGCACATCATTTCTACAAAGAAAAGCACCACAGAAGGAAGTAGAGGGGTTTGGGGGCGAGGAAAGAAACAGGGAAAGGGCAACTTACAAGGGTGATTGTGTAGCCTGATTTGACATCTTTATGATCTTCAACCTCAAGAGAATCCAAATACTTAAATATCTATCAAACAAACGGTCAGCAGTAAATCAAAGTTCCTCAGCAGGTATCAGTAGTTAAAGGAACAAAAACATTGAAAGTACTCGCATGGAACCTTCATAAAACACCCAGAGTAATTTCCCGAAGTAAATAAATAAACCAAATGTAACAGCAGGGAAAGCTTGACAAAACTGTGAAATTTTAGTGGGTTTGAGAGAAAGAGGCCAAACCTTTTGATCTTCGTCGTTCAGAAGTTCACCAAGGGTAGGATGACTCAAAAACTGAACAAGGAGGACAGAGATAAAGCAAACATAACATTTTTAACCATCATGATAACAACTTTGTATGATCAAATTGACAGAAAGAAAAAACAAAAACAAAATAAAACTCACAGCAGTCAACCAGAAGTCAGGAATAGACTTGATGATTTCATTTCTCTTATTGTAAACCGGCTTCCTTATCTCATTGTACATCTGCTCTATTTCGAGGACTTTGTCACTTGCCTCCTCATTGATCTACAACAACGTCCAAATTCATCATCAAAGATAAACAAAAGAATAATCATTACAGGTAGACAAACCACGTGACCATTTAGTCCCACACCCGAAGTCATAATTCATAAAATATGATTTAATCACGCTAGGTTTACGTAATTTGGGGAATCAAGAAATTGCATTACGGTTTAAAACGGAGAATGGAAACCTAAAAAAATAAAAAATAAAACGGTTCGGCATGGAAATTGAAAACTTCAATCAATCTATGAGAGTTTAGCAAAGTGGCTACAAAAGAATAATAATGATGATGATGATGATGATATTGGAATTGTAAATGATGAAACCTTTTCGAGTTCGTCTTGGATCTCCTGCAACTTCTCGATGGAGAGAACGAGTTCTCCGTCGATATCCTCCAAATTCTCTGCAACTTTCAGCTTCTTTGTCCTGTCACCTACCATCTTCACGTTCTCTGTTCTCACACCCTAACACCACTGTCTCGTGCGAAGTGTGTCGTTTTTTTGTTGTTGTTGTTGCAAAGTATGGAAAGCAAAGCGAAAAGTGAGGGATAAAGAGTGAAATGGTTAGGGTTTTTGGGGTTTATGCTCTATATAAGTACTCGTTCATGAGCTCAAATCAGCTTCCACAAGACAAGTGTCCCTTGAAGGGTGCTTCCGTCATTTTGAGTTAAGGTGACATGAACCTATCTATATTCAGATTAATATTTATTTAATTTTTTGTAATGGAAAACAAATATTAATTTAAAAACTAAATCAATGTTCAAGTTGAATTCCTGATCAAATTAATATTTAAAATTTATGAAACGTATTTTAACATGCTAGATACCTATCTGGAGTTTCAATTTAAGTGCTTTGTGTAAGTTGTACTACTGAGTTTAAAACAATGTGAAGAGTTCAGGACAAGAAACTGTTTTTGAGGAAAGGACACAAGAATTGGATAATGTGAAAAACACGTTTGGTAGTATATTTTTCTGAAAAAAAAAAATCTAGCGAGAAAATTTTAAAAAAGTTTGTTATAAAAAGATTATAATGTAATACTTTTAAAGTATTTTATTCTTAAATAATTATTGCATATTATTAAAAATTCTTTTCTTTTTCATATGATAACACAAAATGTGTTTTTTTAAGGTTTTTTTTGAAATTCATCTAAACATACTAAAAAAATCAACAAAAGTATATGCAAACAAGCATATCTACAACCCTCAAGGGTTGGTTTAGCCATAAATTGGCATATGATATATAAGGTGTTTGTTTATAATTTTGAAGGGTTTGGTGTTTTTCATTTTAAATGACATAAGTTAAGTCATTTTAGGAGAGAAATAGACACAGAAAATGAAAATCATGGGAGAGAGAAAATGAGTGATTTTTTTTAATTTAAAATTCAAATTTTATATGTCTCTATCTCTCTTAAAATAACATAAATTTCTGTCATTTTAAATGACAAACATTTTTCCCAATTTTGAATTCTAATTATGCTAATTAAAATTGATATTTTGTCTTAATTTTAAAATAGAGAGAAGCTCCTCTCATTCTAAACTTATATAGAAACAAGTTGGTATTTGCATAAAATATATGAGTCTAGAACAAATGACTTATCAATTTTTTTTAAAAAAATATTAATACTTTTCCCATGTTTGATATTTGCATAAAATATATGCATTTGAACATTATGTACAATAAAATTTGTCAAATAAAATAATTTAGAAATACTAAAATAAACACTATCTATTATAACATTTTTTATACACTCAAATTATTATTTAACACGTGTAAAACTATTTTTAAAAACATGTTTGTTTTTTTTGAATTAACCCAACTTTAATTAATTTTTTTTTTTAAATTTTAATTAATTCTTTGAGCCGACTATGGAACTAATCTGGAGTACAAGATGAGACGTTTTCTTTTTCACTTACTCAGCTTCCTTACTATCAACTGAGATACCACCATTTTTAAAGACATGTATATTCAAGCATGGCTTCACAACCTATACAAATTAAATAATATTTTTTGCACACAAAAAAATATTACAATTTAAACTTTTAGAATAAATTTCCATCAAAAAACATTATGACAAGTCGTGCTTAAAGATGATGACTTATGCCCAACAGGTCATTGATATGAAATTGTCACTGGAGTTAAAAGAATTCATGTCATATGCTTCACATCGTTCATAGGTGAAGGAGGAGGAGAACTTCTTACACTCTCAAATATCTTCTTTATAAATACCTTTTTTTTTCCCTCCGTACAATTTTTTTTCACACTTTTAAATACCATACTAATATTCATTTAGGTTCAAGTTTTGATATTTTAAAGGTATCTCAATTGCTGAACTCAAATTTATTTATCAGAGCCATTGTCCTCATTGTTTACAGGTGAATGCCAGTCTATATGAGCCTTAGGAGGCGTTTGATACTGGAAAATTTTTTATTTGTCTGAAAATCTCAATTTTCAACAATATAATTTTTACATTCAGTTTACGATAATATCTGAAAATTTAAAATTTAAAAAAATTCAGTTTTTCGGGAATCCAGAAAAAATCCGTGTACCAAACGACCCCTTAAGATTTCTAAACAAAAATTCATAAAAACCCACTCTTCTTTCCTTCTTTATATTTTTGTTCAATTAACGCTTAACCCTTCTTTATAAGTATGTTTCTTTCTGCTTTATTTGGTCGAGAAGTTTAGTTCAAATTATAAACCCATAAAATTAGTTTTGTTCAAATTCCAACCTCACATTAGTACAATTATCTCTGTTGGCATAGCAGGATGCTGGTCTGGACTCTCTGGGGCTCTAGTCCGCTGCTTATATCAATTACTAATTGAAGTTTGTAAAACTATTAACTGACAAGCAAGTTCAGTTTCAATTCAAAATCTCTACCACTGTAAAATCATTTGGATTACTCAATGAATATATGCTTATTCCAATTTCATACTCCACTTAGCATAGTAGTTCTCTCTATAAGGCAAATCTCAAACGTAACAAAACATCTAATAATTAAGGGAAATCTAGTCTAGCCAGGCAAGAGGAACTCCCCTTTTTTTTTTCCAGACACCATCCCTTCTAATTAATTGCTCGTAAAGATGTACTCTAGTCTAGCTAGGCAAGGGGAAATCTAAAATTTCTTCAACTAAAACAATCACTGTAAATTCTACCAAAAAAAGGGTCACCAAAACTATAGGAATAGGCAATAGATTGATATTTAATATCTACATAATCATCATAGGAAAAAATATATATACCGCTGCCTAAAATGCTTAACATCATTGACTTCCTTTCTTTCTTAAAAACCAATAATTTCAAAGCTAAGACACAAAAGTCAATAAGAAAATGGGAGTAAACAAATGAAAATGGTACCTGTAAAGAACCAATTCAACCCAAAAGTTTAAGCTATTGGGTGAGGCTATATTAATGGTTTTATATATCTCAACACACCCCCTCACACGAGAGCCCACTGGACTTGAAGGGTGGACAATGCACAGGCCCATCTACCTGTGCGAAGAAAGAAATTCCACTTGAAAGAAAGTGGGGAGCGGTGAGGATCCAACCCGGTACACCAAAGCTCTGATACCATGAAAAGAACCAATTCAACCCAAAAACTTAAGCTGGTGGGTGAGGACTTTTTAATGGTTTATACTATTCTCTAACACGCCGCCTCACACGAGAGCCCACTGGGCTAAAATGGTGGATAATGCACAGGACCACCTACCTGTGTGAAGAAAGAAATTCCACTAGAAAGAAAGTTAGGGGCGGTGAGGATCAAACCTGGTACACCAAGGTTCTAATACCATGTAAATAACCAATTCAACCCAAAAGCTTAAGCTGGTAGGTGAGGGCTTTTAATGGTTTATATTTATACTATTCTCTAACAAAAAAATTATATATCTCAACAGTACCAATAATCGGTAAAAGCTAGATAACACACTTTACTCATTATCATTGATTAGTAAACATTAACCATCATCGTCAACATGCAGTTCTCCATTTCTTGAAGAAACCTGCTAAAAATTTTCATTTGAAGCTGTTGCGAATTGGCTTTCCATCATATGATACTTCAAGTCATTGCTATCATGCTGCACCCTCCCAGTAATCTCCAAGCACAAGCCATTGCTTAGGTCATTGTTTGATTGCCTATCTTTAGCAGACTTCTTTCTGAAGCCCAGGTCAACAAAAACTGGCTGAATCCTAAGAGTTGGGTTTGGCTTAATACGGTTCACTTCCCTTTCATCTGGTGGACGTAGTATTCTATTGTCAGACTGTAATTCTGAAACTTCATCTTCATTCAGAAGGACCTGCAAGATATAAAATAAATTAGAATCCAAAATGGAAAAAACCAACACTCTGCGTAATACTAGATTTGCTGTATAAAAGCATACAAAGACTACTATATAAGCAACAACAATGGGAAAATGGGGAAGAAAAAAATATCTAAAACTTCCTAGTTTAGGTTACTACTTAAAACCATGTATAGATTCCCTGTAATTAATAGTAGCATAAGACCCTAAAACGACCTTTGCATGCCAGATTCAAGATTCCCATTCAAAAAGAGAAAAATAATTGTAACTCATAAATCATAATATGCAAAACCATTAGAACAATGGAACAAGCATAATAACTTGAGATACATCTGTAGATACCAGGAAAGAATCACAAAACAAAAGACATTTGTTTCTAATATAAGATATTCATGACTAGCAACTTTAGGCAAGACCATATGGCTAAAACATAAACCTTGCGGCCAACAAGATCAAAAGTCACAACAACTTTATTCCGTTTGGCTCGCTCAGCTTCTTCCATCTCCTCTTGTTTCTTCTTCAACAGTTCCTTTTCCTAAAGAAATAGGACAAAATTGAAACAGCTCAATGTGTCATAAACACAGCATCAGATGTGAAAGTGATATATAAGTTGCAAACAAAACAGAATACCTCCTTTGACAACCAACTGTTTCCATCAATCTCATAGTAGTCGCTCTGGTCATCAATAACAGTTGTACGAGCTGCAGAATTCCGGTCATATTCGACAAGCCTCTTTGCATAAGCTTCAGCAGCAGCCTCGGCATCTGACAAGGGTGGCAAACTTTCTTCCAAACCAGCATATGAGCTTCCTTCTTTCAACACAAGTGCACCACAAAAATTACAAGGTCCTTCTCCTTCTTGTTCACAAACTATTTTGCCACAAGATAAGCAATTGCTGATTAGCCTGTGACTACGTGCTTGACAAGAGCACGGTCTTCCCTGCTGAAAGACAATTGACCCTTTGGCTGCCTCAGCAAGTGAAATTGTTTTCCCAGGTTTCTTCTTCTTGGAATTCACTTGGTTTCCTTTTTGTGATGTTCTTGATTCACTAATCTGATTTTCCTGATTACTGCTAACCGCATTCTTGTTGGGTTCTGCGTGAGAATTGCGAACTGTCACTGCTTTCGGTGCTCTCAACGATTTCTTATTCACACTTGCAGATGTGTCAACTGAAGGAGGTTTGACATATGCATGTAATTTTGTCGTTGGAATATCTGAGTTGGGGCTGAATTCTGAGTAACCTCTCCGTCGTAAATATTCTTCAATCACAGTTTTCCCTGCTTCCTCACCAATTATATTCTTCAAAGGAAAACAAAGATAAAAGCTATTCAGAGTTAAAAAAAATAAAATAAAAAATCTTCCATTAAACAGCGACATAATAAGATTCCATCCACCACGAAAATTCAGTGAAGCATTCTTTATTAATATGAATGCATTGTAAAGATATTCAAAACAGTTCATCCTTAAACTTAATTCGTGTCCTTCTAATCCAAAAAAAGAGTGATTAATTTAATTCTAATACACATGAAAGCCTAATGTCTTAGGTTTCCAACGAGCCAAAGAGTTTGTCATTTGGGCACAGTCGCTAGCAAAACAAACTTCAAAAAAAAAAAAAAAAAAAAAAAAAATCGTAATTGATTGATAGCAACTAAACCCTAAATTCCATAAAATAAAATGAATTATCGTTACAGAAGCATAATAGAAAGGAGAAGAAGAGAAAAGGAAAAGAGGGTTACGTCAAGATACTCTTTAGCATCTCGTGGTTCAGCAAGGTCGCAATAAGAAACAAGGCCTTTTATGATCTCTTCATCCAAACCTAAACCCAAACCTGTTTCAATCTTCGAACACAACTCCACCAGCGCCTTCTCCAGCCACTCCCCCGCCGATTCCATCTCGCTCTCTGCCTAACCAGTCATGATCCTCTACTTCGCGGGCCGTGCATTTTATATGAATGTTCGATCCAGATCATGCCACTTGGGTTCAATTCTTTGATGACGTGTCTATCAGCACTGTGATGAAATTCAAAACCCTTGCTCTTCTTCTTTTCCTATTGGATTAGTATTTTAAAAAATAATTTTAAGATAATTTTTTTATAACTTTTAAAAGATATATAAGATTATAGAGACTTTAAAAAAAAAAATTAAAGACTTTTTTTTAAATGAAATTATCTATTAAATTTTTTGGAAAAAGTTCATTAATGCACTTATGGGTTTACTCCAGAATCATCTATGTTCCTGTGATTTTTCTGTGGTTTGCAAAAGGGTATATTTTTTTTATCATAAATGCTCCTGTAATTTTTTATTTTTTACGCACTACATGGACATATATGATAAACAAAAAATTACAGGAGCATAGATGATTCTGTAGCAAACCACAGGAGTATTGGTGAATTTTTTTATAAAGTTTATATATATATATACACACTGCGCAATAGATATTATTTTTCTGCTCATTATCTTGTTAAATAGTAACTTACATTTATTATGGTACGAGAATATTTAACATTGTTAAGTATATGCTCTTTTAATTCCATGACAAAAGTAAATTATGTAAAAAAATTTATTATTCAACAAATGTCTTTTGTGCCTAATATAATGCATAAAAAGTCTTGACAAATTTTTATTGTCAATATACTGTTTATTAATCATGCATTTCATCAACTTATTACTAGTGCTACAACTATTTAAAAAAAATGGAATCAATTATAAACAATCAATTAATCATGAAAAAAGAATAGCATAAAAAAGAATGTTAAAATTAGAGAAAATATATGAAAATAAAAAAGAACATACAATTTTGAGAAAAAAATGCTAGGAAGATCGTGAAACACCATAAGAAAAATTTCAAAAAATCTAAGGGATTATTTATACTTCTTACTAAAATGTTTCATATAATTTATATTAATAAAAAATTCATTAAAATTATCAAATTTTTAAATATTACAAGATATTAATTTTTTTTTAAATAATGAATTTATAGGAACTCTAAAACAATCTATTAAAATTCTAATGGAATATCAGCTAATTTTTTTTTTTTTTTTCAATCTTTGAAATCTTAATTGAATAGAAACGAAAAATCCCATAAAATCCCGATCCAACACGCCCTTTGCTCTGTAAATTTTGGAATGAGTCGTGCATTGCTTCCGAAGCACGTTGCTGCGGTTGTGAAAGCCCAAAAGGACCCTCTGAGAGCGCTCGAGATGTTCAACTCGGCGAAGAACGAAGATGGGTTCAAGCACACGGTGTTGACGTACAAGTGCATGGTCCAAAAGCTTGGGCTTCACGGGAAGTTTGAGGAGATGGAGAAGGTGCTTTCGGAGATGAGAACGAACGTAGATAACAGGTTATTGGAAGGAGCGTACATCGAAGCTATGAGGAGCTACGGGAAGAAAGGGAAGGTTCAGGAAGCAGTGGATATATTCGAGCGCATGGACTTTTACAACTGTGAGCCATCGGTTCATTCATACAATGCCATCATGAACATTCTGGTTGAGTATGGGTACTTGAACCAAGCCCACAAAGTTTACATGAGGATGCGAGACAAAAGGGTTGATTCTGATGTGTACACCTACACCATAAGGATCAAGTCCTTTTGTAGGAGTAGCAGGCCTCATGCTGCTCTTAGGCTCCTTCGTAACATGCATTCTCTTGGGTGTGATTCCAATGCTGTGGTGTATTGCACTGTGGTTGCTGGTTTTTATCAGTGTGATCACCAACCTGAGGCACGTGACTTGTTTGATGAAATGCTTGGCAGGTGTTTTTGTCCTGATGTTACTACTTTTAATAAGCTTTTGCATGCGGTTTGCAAGAAGGGTCTTGTCTCAGAAGGTGAGAAACTTTTCAATAAGGTTTTGAAGAGGGGGGTTTCTCCCAATTTGTTTACCTTCAATATCTTCATACAGGGGCTTTGTAGAGAAGGTGCTCTCGATAAGGCTGTTAGCTTGTTGGGTAGTGTGTCAAGGGAAGGGTTAAGGCCTGATGTTGTCACCTATAATACATTGATATGTGGGCTGTGTAGGAACTCTCGGGTTCAAGAAGCTGAGGAATATTTGCATAAAATGGTTAATGATGGATTTCAGCCCGATGGTTTCACCTATAATAGTATTATTGATGGATACTGCAAGAAGAGGATGGTACAAAATGCTAATAGGATTCTGAAGGATGCAGTTTTTAAGGGTTTTAAGCCTGATGAATTTACTTATTGCTCCTTAATTAATGGGTTGTGCCAGGATGGTGACCCTGATCATGCCATGGCTGTCTTTAAGGATGGACTAGGAAAAGGTTTAAGACCAAGCATTATTGTTTACAATACCTTAATCAAAGGGTTATCACAGCAGGGTCTTATTTTGCCAGCTTTGCAATTGATGAATGAGATGGCAGAAAATGGTTGTCACCCCGATATATGGACTTATAATTTAGTTATAAATGGCTTGTGCAAGATGGGTTGTGTATCTGATGCTAATCATCTTATCAATGATGCTATTGCCAAAGGGTACCTCCCAGACATATTTACCTATAATACTTTGATTGATGGCTACTGTAAACAGTTGAGGTTAGACAATGCAATTGAGATAGAAAATAGGATGTGGAGTCAAGGTGTGACTCCTGATGTTATCACATATAACACTTTGTTGAATGGGCTCTGCAAGGCTGCAAAATCTGAAGAAGTAATGGAGATTTTCAAGGCTATGGTGGAGAAGGGATGTGCTCCAAACACAATTACATACAACATTATCTTAGAAAGCCTTTGCAAAGCTAAGAAAGTAAATGAAGCTGTAGATTTGCTTGGGGAAATGAAAAATAAGGGTTTGACACCTGATGTTGTTAGTTTTGGCACATTGATCACTGGGTTCTGTAAGATTGGGGATCTGGATGGTGCTTACCAGTTATTTAGAAGGATGGAAAAACAATATGATGTTTGTCATACAACAGCAACATATAACATCATCATTAGTGCATTTTCTGAACAGCTCAATATGAATATGGCAGTAAAGCTCTTTTCTGAGATGAAGGAAAATGGCTGTGACCCAGACAGCTATACCTACCGGGTCATGATTGATGGCTTTTGCAAAATGGGGAATGTTACTCATGGATACAATTTTCTGTTGGAAAATATTGAAAAGGGGTTTATTCCATCACTGACAACATTTGGACGGGTTTTAAATTGTCTTTGCGTGAAGCATAAAGTTCACAAAGCAGTTGGTATCATCCACCTTATGTTACAAAAGGGAATCATCCCAGAGGTCGTAAATACAATTTTTGAAGCTGATAAAAAGGTGGTAGCAGCGCCTAAGATTCTTGTAGAAGATTTGTTGAAGAAAGGCCATATAACTTATCAAGCCTATGAGATACTATATGATGGCATCAGAAATAAAAAAATACTTAAGAAAAGACTCACCACTGTGAATTCTCTCCATCGAGGGGCCAGATCATCAGCTGTTGATTAAAAGATTATATCTGTGGAAAGTGATGATTCCTGACCCTCTGCTCGGTCCCAACTTCCAAAGATGTTTGGAGCTTACAGTAGACACCTGTTACGAAGGTGAAATTGAAGGCTTTTGAACATGAACTTAGTGTCTCCTTATTCATTTCTTTATTTGATGTCTAACTCTATTCCCCGACTGCATGCCATGCTCAGAAATTTTGGTCCAGGTATATCTGCTATCTATACTACTGCTTCTTCATAAATAGTTGAGTTTGTTGTATTAATATTCACATTTCATAACAGAACTCTAGCTGATTTCAGGTATTGGTAGCCTATCCTATTCATACAACTAGTCTTTCCCATGTCAAGACTATTTCCTTCCCGGACTAAATCTCTTTTCTGTCCAAATTAATTGAGTAACGTTTAAAAAATAAAAACATGTAAGTAATTTGTATGAATTTATTACTCAGACAATATGTAAATTTAATGAAATGGAACACTGCTATAACTGTCTATCTGTCTGGACTCTATTTTTTATTTTGGGATTGAATTGTCTTACACAATAAGAAATTCTGCATGAGCACCCTGTGTCATTGTTTTGTTCTTGTAGGGTTTGATTCATGACACGTTCGGTTTATATGGAACAGCTGCTGTGCATATTCGGAGCTTGTTATTAAGACAATATTTCTGCCATAGATAGACAGATAGCTTTTGTTTCTGCACGACTAAGGGTAATTCTACTTCTACATAATTGGCTCGGTTCCCTTTGATAAATGCTTTGAACCTATTTCATGAACACGACATGTGATAACTTGATGCTATTTGCCTCCAAAATATAGCTGGAGTTTAATTTTCTCCTTGTTAGCTAGTGTAGGTATGTCAATAGGGTGCTCTCGAGCCTATCAATTGCGGTATGCTATTCTTTTTCATGCGAATGTCAATTATGATAGGACCATTTTCTTCGTAAATAACACATATAATATCAATTTCAGGACATGATATGTAAGCTTTAACACATACCTACAACCCTTGAGTCTTCATACCAGATTTGACATTCACAATGGTACATTTGAAGAATGATGCTCATCCCCATACTTAAGTCCTCAACAAACAAGAAAGATAACTGCTAATTTCGTGGCATTCTATTTCGATTTATAGCATGGAAATTCTAATATAAGTTGTGCTTGTATAACTAAGGTAAGCTCCCTTTTTTGATTGAGATATACTGTATGTAGTCGATGATGGTAACATTTTATATATGGAAGCTTAACTGCTTGGCTATAGTATCAAAGTTCTAATGAGATTATTCTGGTCCTAATTAAAATTACTCTCCCCATTAATACATAGCCTTCCATGTCCTTATTGTTCTTGTTCATTTTCATATTGGCAGGTTTACTCCCCATACAGGATCCAATAAACTGTTTCTTACTTCAGGGAAATTCTACAAAAGAACCTCGATGTCAAAATGAATGCCACTTCTTTTGCGTATTTGCAAGTAAAACATGATGTGCATAATCTCGATGTCAAAACATGCTACTACTTTCCGATTTTTAAGAAAGTTCTGAAGATTCAGAAAGCCAAGGAAAAGCAGGCATCAAAAAGCTATGAGGACGTGCGTCTTTCACCTACACCTACTATTTTTTGTGGTCGGAAATTTGAGGATGAGTAATAAAGTGACCCGTTGGTGACGAATAGACTAACTAAGAATCATGTAAACAGAAAAACCAATACACACAATATCTTAAAAGTTTTGACGGAGATCACCTAACTTTTAGCTTTCTGCCTGACATTTATTTTCCCTTAAAGAGGGTCTAATAATTTTCGAAGAGAACGAGTCCTTATTGAATTCTTGTACCAGTCGCTGAGACCTATCTGCTGTGATTTATGAACCATAAATGACTGGAAGAATCCTGCGAATAGAAGAATTTTCATTTCATTGTGGAAGATACTCTTGTGTAATTTTGTGGAACAAGAAGAAAAAGCTAAAGAGGATATCTAGGAATCTAGACATGATAATACTTAGATAAGGAAAATATTAACTTTCATTCTCTCTTTTTGTTTAGCAAATGAGGGTGTTAAGTTGGATGCATTGCAGAGTGATCTGTCTTTTGCTTGAAATTATTAACTCTTCTCTTGGAAGTGAGACAAGTGTATTAAATTATTTATTAAAATAATTATTTTAAAATTGTCTTTTTTACAATAAGAGAGATTTGCAAATAATAATAATTGGGAAAAATATTTCTCCGGTCATCGGAGATGAAGTTATCTCTAATGAGCCCAAACGATGTTGTTTTGGGATTGTAAAATTAAAAATTTATAATGATAAAAATTAATATAACCTTACAATAAATTAGAATTACAAAAACACTTTGATTTTCCGCCACAAAACGATGTCATTTTGAGCTCACCGAAGATAATTTATCTCCATTCCATTGACTTGAGAAATTGTTTACTCGTAATAATTACACGTTAAGAGAGTATTGGTATTAAATTATTTATTAAAATTATTATTTTTAAATGGGGAAAGGATATATATACTACCATAAAAGTTTAGCACTCTTAGTCTCTTACAACCAATTTAATCATCGTTGATTTCCATCGATCTAACAGTTATAATTTATTAGAAATTATTTGATCGCACTTATTAATTAATTATTAATTTTCTATAAACTCAATAAATTATAACCATTAGATTGACAAGAATCAACTGTAATTAGGTTGATTATAAAAATGATAAATATTTTTTTGTTGTAAAAACATCCTCCCACTTTTAAATAATTATTTGTAATAATAGTACCAGTACTATTAATTTGTAATTATATGGTCATCCTAGTTTCATATTTGAAAGCAGAGGTGGAGGAGGGAATGAACATCTGGGAACAAGGATGGGTTTCATTGTTGAGCAAGTGCAGCAGCTTGAAACCCGCGAAGCAAGTCCATGCCCATATCTACAAAACGGGTCTTCAATCCGACCCGTTTGTATTGGGGAAGCTCCTTCTCCACTGCGCCATCTGCATCTCCGATGCTCTTCACTATGCTCGTCGTCTCTTCCAACACTTCCCCAACCCAGACACTTTCATGTACAACACCCTCATTCGAGCACTTGCTCAATCTCAAACCCCTCTCAATTCCCTTCACCCCTTCATCCAAATGCGTCGCCAACCCACCCTTTTCCCAGATAGCTTCTCTTTTGCGTTTGCACTCAAGGGCGTCGCTAACTGCGGCCATTTGAGACCTGGCATTCAGTTGCACTGTCAAGCTTTTTGTCATGGCTTTGATACCCATATTTTTGTTGGGACAACCTTGATCAGTATGTATGCTGAATGCGGGAATTCTGAGTCTGCTAGACAGGTGTTTGAGGAAATGCCAGAACCAAATGTTGTCACGTGGAATGCTGTTGTCACCGCCTGCTTTAGGTGTGGGGATTTGGAGGGTGCGCGGGATGTGTTTGGACGGATGCCCATTCGGAATTTGACCTCGTGGAATGTGATGCTTGCCGGTTATGCTAAAGCAGGTGAGCTTGGGTTGGCAAGAAGAGTTTTTTCTGAAATGCCTATGAAAGATGATGTTTCTTGGAGCACTATGATTGTTGGGTTTGGTCACAATGGTTCTTTTGATGAGGCTTTTGGGTTTTTCAGGGAATTGCTGAGGCAGGGAATCAGGCCAAATGAGGTGAGTCTGACTGGTGTGTTATCTGCATGTGCACAAGCTGGGGCATTTGAGTTTGGGAAGATTTTACATGGGTTTATAGAGAAAGCTGGGTTTCTTTGTATTCTTTCGGTGAATAATGCTCTCATAGATACCTTCTCCAAGTGTGGAAATGTAGCTATGGCTAGGTTGGTCTTTGAGAATATGCTGGTGGGGAGGAGCATTGTGTCTTGGACATCAATGATAGCTGGCCTTGCAATGCATGGTCATGGAGAAGAGGCAATACAACTTTTTCATGAGATGGAAGAGTCTGGAGTTAGGCCAGACGGTATTACTTTCATATCTCTACTATATGCTTGTAGCCATTGTGGCTTGGTTGAGCAAGGGCGTGCTTCTTTTTCTAAGATGAAGAATTTGTATGGTATTGAACCTGCCATTGAACATTATGGTTGCATGGTTGATCTGTATGGTCGAGCTGCAAGGTTGCAGGAGGCCTATGAGTTTATATGTCGAATGCCAATTTCACCTAATGCAATCATTTGGAGGACTCTCCTTGGGGCATGTAGCATTCATGGTAATATTGAATTGGCAGAGCTTGTGAAAGCAAGGCTTGCTGAAATGGATCCAAACAACTCCGGTGACCATGTACTACTCTCAAATGTTTATGCCATTGCAGGGAAATGGAAGGATGTTGCCAGCATAAGAAGAACAATGATTGAACAGAGCATGAAAAAAACTCCTGGTTGGAGCATGATTGAAATTGACAAGGTCATTTATGGTTTTGTGGCAGGTGAAAAGCCTAACAAGGTTACAGAAGAGGCTCATGATAAACTGAGGGAAATAATGTTGAGACTCAAAGCAGAAGTGGGTTATGCGCCACAGGTAAGGAGTGTCCTGCATGATATTGAAGAGGAAGAAAAAGAAGATTCAGTGACTAAGCATAGTGAGAAGCTTGCTGCAGCTTTCGGAATAGCAAAACTTCCTAAGGGAAGGATTTTAAGAATAGTGAAGAACCTGAGGGTTTGTGGGGACTGCCATACTGTGATGAAGCTGATTTCTAAAGTTTATCGAGTAGAGATCATTGTTAGAGACAGAAGCCGCTTCCACTCGTTTAAAGATGGATTTTGTTCTTGCAGAGATTATTGGTGACAGAGGTGATTGATCAAGTAGTTTATCTTGACTGCTCTTGATTGATCAAGTAGATTGGCTGATCTTCAGCAAAATGGCTGAGCTAGATAGCTCAATGCTGGTGACACTACAGGAATATGGTGAAATGGCTACTAGAGAAGCATTTAGTTGTTTCTTTTCAAGTGGTCTTTCTACCATAATGGAGAAATATGGTGAAATGGTAATACCCATTAATGAAGAAGAAATATGGCCAATAACTACTGGTCTTTGTACCATCATTCCTCCAAAGTACAAGACACCTACTGGAAGCGGAAAAAGAAAAGCTACCAAGAAGGGAAAAGGATGAGCCTGTAAAACCATACAGGCTAAGGAGGAGCAGGACTTCATTAAGGTACTCAATATGCAACAGCTACAGTCATAACAAAGAAATTGCCAAAAGAGGATGCAGTAGGGGGAGAGGTAGAGCAATATCCTATAATGGGTGAGGAAAACCAGTTGCAGATGCATCAGGTGCTAATACATCAGCTGCAACAGCAACTGTAAGTGCATCATCAGCTCAAGCTGCATCTGCGCATGCCTTTGCAGATGTTGGTGCAGCAACTGCATCTTTTTCCACCCAAGGCTAAGTGACTGTAGCAACCCCTACAGGAATGCCCCTAGGAGGGGGAAGGGATTTAATTCCATGGAAATGTGGAGAAGTGAGGCCAAAATTTGGGATAATAGGAGCTTTTTTTGCTGAGAGGGAACCCTTGTGTTACAAGGTCACACCTTAAACAAGTGGCCAATAGGAGACAAGGACATATACAGAGAGACTCCAGCAAAACCTGCCACTCGTTGGGCGACACCCTCTTTACTATGAACACCCGAGGAGACCACGCCCAATAGACTTTTATCTCTTGCTTTTTTGTTTTCTTGTGTTTGAGTAATGAGTATCAATATCTTTGGAGTTGTCTCATATGTGTAATAGTCCTTATAGTTTCTAGTGGGAGTCGAAGACAAAGCCTTTTCTTCCCTTAAACCTCGGTTGCCCTTCGTAAGTTGAGATTTCTTTCTGGTCTCCAACCGATTTAGCATTCTCGTTGCAAAGCAAATGGAGGTAGGGAGTTTTCACTTTTTTTGACCGTGTGCAAACACATTTGCAAGTCAAACAAACTTGAATGTCATATCAGTATTACTTGGTCAAGTAAGCAAAATCTTTCCGCAATAGATCTCTCGTGTCATCATGTCACGTGAAAATATCATTTATTCATTCACAAATCAACCAAACATCACAATTTTATTGAAAAAGTTAGTAAAACAAAAAAGATAAAAATTATCACTCAAATCTTTGACGATGTTATATCTTCCTTTGACGGAAGAACCTACTTTGAAAGGTGATCAGATCAAATACAATATGGGTTGGCCAATATGTATTGGGTTTAATCACACACGGTTGAGACGTGGATGAAGTTCTCTGTCTTGGACTTGGTGTTGTTGTTAAGGATCAGTATACCTTTGTCCTTTGCTAGCGCGATGAGTCCGGATGAGAGTACCTGCGAAGACATTCTGATGCTTAAGTCAGTATTAGAGGCAAGTGTATGTATGTTCTTAATGAAATAGATAGATGTACCTGGGTCAGTACCCTCTGCTTATATAGCGGTTATGATGCTGCCTTCATAAGGCGGTATGGCTTCTGATTGGCCATGCTTGGGTTGCAGGTCAGGCTAGGACTTAAGTAGCCTTATCTTCTTAATATCAAGCTATCTTGATAGAGTCGCGGCCAGCTGGTGTTGTCTTATGTTTATTAGTTCAAAGGCGCGGTGAGCTTGCCTTGGTTCTTAAGTTAACTTCCTTATTTCTGGATCTTATACCAAAGGGCGGTTTCATGCGCGATGGGAATATCGTGTCCTGCCATGCGCGCGATGTTGACCATCGCGCTTTAATCTGGACCCTTCATAAGATTGGGCTCCTTTGTACGTTATTGGACCTCTAATGGGCCTACTGCATTTTATCCGGATCAAAAGATATTAGAGATACTCGTGATGAAGATGAAAAACAAAAAGACGAAATTAAGAGCTTTGAGAGCTTTTATGTATTAAGAATTGAAAATGATTCATGTTGTACATTATGGAGCTATATTGTATTTATAGTCCATACTCGATAAAGAGAGTGATACACGTGAATGATAACAGAATAACTAACGTTAGTTAGAGTTAGCTTTGGGCAGTTATACTGATGGACTTTGATACTTGATATTGTTTTCACACGTATAACAACCTATTTTATAGAAACCAAAAATTTAATTAAACTTATATATAATGATTGATGGAATAGAATTAAATAAAATAACGAACCAATATGTAAATATTTTATGATAAAATGAAATAAAGTTTTTATTTCTTTGTTAGGGAAGTAGATAAAATGATAATAATTATGGATTCATCTAATCTCTTGTTGCATGAGAGAAGATCTCTCATATTGTAGACAAATATGTGGTTGGGCCCGCCATTTAAAAAGAAAAAGAAAAAATAGTGTCATGGTTTTCGATGGGTCTATTGGAGATAAAACTACTGTTATGTTGCATAAGAGTAATTTTTCCCAATAATTATAAAGGTTCGATTTTTCTGCGGGCGTTTTACGTGTAGCAGTGACAAATTTTTTATATATATAAGTTAAAACATTTAATGTGAAAAATCATAACCATATAAAAGGTGAAAACATAAAATATGCAGAATTATAACCATACACCTGTCATTGCTACGTATAACAACTTTATATATGATTTTATCTATTTATAACTTCATTATTATTACTATGGACATATGATTTCTGTTTTAAAAATAGAAAAAAAATCTACCTGCGCGCTGAAACAAAATGTTGGAGAGAGAAAATAAAAGAAATATATTTAAGTGGCCAGACTTTTTTTTGGTTATGAAGCAAAAATCATTTTTCCTAATACTATTTTTCCTACAAAATATTAAATGAAATAAAATGGTGTATTTTCTATTTTCGTGAATTTAATAAGAGAAATAATTTTTTTATTTTGTAAGAAAATAGTTATCTTATTTTGTAGAAATAAAATTACAAATAAAATCCATAAATAAGAGAAAAGAGAGAAAAAATAAAATAAAATAGAATTCATCCTTCTTTTATACGTGTAAAAAATTTAATTATCTCGTTATAAAATGAAACAAATATAATCCATTTAACACTGGCATTGGAGCATTCCATAAGCCAAGTAATATTTCGAGAACAACATGGGACGTCAATGAGATATTTTGAAAGATGGTATCGGACATCCAATTAGCAGTTGTCATTTTACTTTACCTTCCCCGACCAAAAATCTCATTGGGTCCTTGGTCAGCATTTTCTGCTGTGGTTCCTTTGTCTTAACCTTAGATCTCCTCGTTGAACTTTTCATTTTCAGCTTTCACCATTACCCATCTTCATTCTTGAAGTTCTGCCTCCTCTGATGGCGCTCTCTTCAACTTTTATGCCTAATTCATCTCCAAGTTTGAACCTTTACGCCAAATTTCGTAGACCCTTTCTCTCTCACTCTGTCAATGTCCTTAATCCCCTAAAGGTTCGAGCTTCAACTACTCTGGATTTTTCCAACGTCTCTGCCAACGACAAACCCTCCACATTGAAGGTGAGAATAACTAGCCTCTCTAACTGTTAATTGTTTCGGTAAATTGTTGTAGATGGTGTTCACCAAAATATTTCCTTGGTTTCCTTAAACTATTGTGCTAAATTCATAGACGCGTGAAGATTATTCATTAGACACATGGGCAAAACGGAACGATTGTGTATTTGTTCGTTGCTAAACTTTGTTTTCTTTGATCAATTTAACACTCGCTTCCCCCCATTCAAGAGATAAACTAAGAAACCAGACAGATACATATTACATATACCCTTGAACGTTGTTAAGGTTTAGTGTTTTACAATTACTTAAACACACCAAAATAAAGATCAAAGAAATAAGGCTGTAGTTTATCTGAACTTCAGTAAGTCCATTATGTAGAAGATTTTATGTAATAAACAATTTTTTTGTTTTACTTCTTTTATTTGTAAAAGCAATTGTCTTTCATTTGATTATTCACAATTGGAATTTGGATGCTTGTTTAATTATGATACAAAATTTCAAAGACTTGTGTCTGAGTTTGCAACCATTTCTTGCCTAATGCATGATGCCTTGCCTTTTCCATTTCCCATCAGGCTAGTAATTGGCAATGGAAATTCAAGGACAATTCTATAAACATTTATTATGAGGAACATGTAAAGGAGAGTCCCGAGCCTTCCCAAAATATCTTGATGATGCCAACCATTTCTGATGTCAGCACTGTTGAGGAATGGAGATTAGTGGCTGGAGAAATTGTTCAACGTAATAGCAACGTCAATTGGCGAGCAACTATTGTTGATTGGCCTGGTCTGGGTTATTCTGATCGGCCAAAGATTGATTACAATGCTGATGTCTTGGAAAATTTTTTGGTTGATCTCATCAATTCTCCTACTGGTCCAATAAAACAACCAGGTACTGGTGGAGTACATTATCCTTTTTAATAATTTTCACTTAACAGTTACCATTGGATTAAGCTATATAGTTAGGTTGCAACTATTATTTATTTCTTCTTAAGAATATTTACTTACAATTAATTCCATATTTTACTTGTTTTGAGCAGTTTCAATTTGTATATCTGTTTCTGTCTGTTTTTTAGTTAAGACGTTTAGGAATTAAAATCTATTAACTTCCACTACATTGGATTATGTGTTTGAGGAATTTTGCTAAGTTAGTCTTTTATGTTGGTTTCCCCCCCCCCTCTTGATATATGAGAAATCTATAGCCTAGAAAGTCTCAGTTTCATTTTAGCTGGCACTAGGAAAATGAGAAGGTCTTTACACAGTTGAGCTAGGGATTACCTGATTGGTTAATTTCATCTCCTATATATATCTATAGTCATTCTTTTTCTGTCTCTTAAATCAAATTGGTAGATATTTTTTGTTGTGCCATGTTTCTTCTATTGCTTTATTGAATGCTTACATCTATCATGATGCTTCCTGTGATTGTGGAGGCAAAGTATGTTTTGCGTTTATCTATTGAGTGTCTTCTATTTGATTTATTTTTTCGAGGATGTATATTTATTTCCATTAGTAATTTAATATGTCCTGACTTTGTATTGAACAGTTTTTATGACTAACATTGTTCGTGTTAAAATAGAAAATGATTTAGTAATTGTTGGAGGAGGGCATGCTGCGTCAACAATAATCCGTGCCGCAAAAAAGGGTCTGGTGAAGCCCAAAGCCATAGCTGCTGTTGCACCAACTTGGGCTGGTCCCCTTCCTATTGTGTTTGGTCGAGATTCGAGCATGGAAACAAGGTACTTTGATGCTCCCTTTTCCAATGGGCATACTCTTTCTTTACTGATTACTGTAGCATGTTTTTTTTTTTTTTTTGGAAATCTGTAGCATGGTTTTCTAGTATCTAATGAAAGGAAGGTAAATTTTAACCCAATGAACTCAAATATTTCTTAACTGAAATTTTAAAATAGTTAACTTCAGGGTAAATTTCTTTGCAGTTGTTGAGGCAGTAAAAGGATACAGTGCTACATTTCTTAATTATTTCCATCTGCATAACTGGTTATTCCTGCCCCTTAAAAGATCTTCTCATTTTCCCCTACTCCGCCAAATGTTGTTTGATTTCCCCTAGAATTCTCATTGATATAAAATTCAAAGAACCGCGTATGTCACAACCAGATTACATTGTTTCACAATATACTATATAACCGGTTTCTTTTCTCCCTTCCCTGTAAACATGACAGGTATGGTCTTCTAAGAGGCACCTTAAAGGCCCCTGCAGTTGGCTGGATGATGTACAACATGCTTGTGAGCAATGAGAATGCAATCCAATCACAGTACAAATCCCATGTATATGCCAACCCTGATAATGTGACTCCTGAAATTGTGGAAAGCAGATATGCATTGACAAAACGAAAAGGAGCACGATACCTACCTGCTGCTTTTCTGACCGGGCAATTAGACCCAGTAACATCTCGCGAGGAGTTTCTTCAACTCTTTGCAGATTTGGAGGGAAAGACACCAGTCCTGGTTGTATCAACCAAAGACTCTCCTAAGAGGTCTAAGGCTGAGATGGAAGCTCTTAGGGGATCCAAAGGGGTGACCAAGTTTGTGGAAGTGCCTGGTGCTCTTCTTCCACAAGAGGAGTATCCTGCTATGGTGGCAGAAGAGCTTTATCAGTTCTTGCGAGAATATTTTGGCTCTTTGGCTTAAAATTGACACTTTTTTTTTTTAATAATTTATATATCAAATAGGGATTATCAATATCATTGGTGTTACTCAGCTTTTCCGCCTCTGCATGTTGGTGGATAAACCGTGTCAATGGAAACTCCACCCCTGTTGTTTGTATAGTTGAAAGAACTGATACCAAAATAAGTTTTCATAGGAAGGATGTACTCACAGGTGTTTGTTTGGCTGAGATATATATTGAGACATTTTATATATAAGATTTTAAAAACACAGGATTCTCATGTTTTTTTATAGCATATTAGATGCCTAGATCTAGATATGTGATATTATTATATGATTGCTCTTAGTAATTTAAGACGTATAATTTTTAATTTTCAAATATGTATATAATTTATACAAAAAAGTTTGAGGGGGAGATTGGTTTATTTTACGCAGAGACAAATCGATTTTACTAGTTAATCAATCTTTATTGACTAAGGTGTTTCCTGATACCAACATATTCATTTAGTTTCTCGTGGATCTCTCAGCCGTTAAAATGCCTCTCGGAGTAAATGAATTTCTACATTATAAAACAAGGTTCAAAATACTTACTCTGAATAATTGAAAGCACAACTTATTTTTGTTAGGTTAACTTCTACCAAAAAATAATAAAGTTATGTTGTAGGAAAAGTGATTGTATTATGTTATAGAGATTCGTTTTGCGTGCTAGAGTTTTTTTTTTTTTTTTTGGTTTCAAAAATTGTGGGTCCCACAAAATGTTGTGTGTGTAGGAAAGTTGTTGTGGTCATGTTAAATTATAGATACAAAACCCAATAATAAAAAAGAGTTATTACTTGAAACCAATTATAAATAATCTAGGACCTGTCGATAAGAGTGAAAATGGGAAGATTGAATCTATGGCTGAGTTTGGTTTAAGCTGTGCTTTCGCTTTGATTACAAATGAAGAACCACATAGCTCTTTCAATGGTCGGTTTCTCTTGAGGTAGAAATTTTAGAATTCTACATTATCATTTAATAATCAATATGCGGGACCAATTTTAATACACTGATCCTACCAAACAGCTCATTGTTCTTGTCTCTCGTGCTCTTATATAACCAACTCCCATATGCCATCCAATTTTCGAAACCCTAAATCAATTCCGACGTACATTGGTCTTAATTATGTCACTCGATGTGTCATGTCATGTTTAAAAATAAGAGGATTGTACTTATTCCGAACAAGTACTCTAAGAAATAAAAATAAATATATATTAAAAAAGTATATTTTTTTTAAAAAAAATTATATATATTAAATGCTTTTGTTTTTATTTAATATTTGTTTTTTTTTAATTCCTTAACTAGTACTCTTAGAACATTCAATAACAACATGCTAAAATTAATAATGTTGATGTAGCTACTCATCTTATTAGGGATGAACAAAAGTGGTATGGGCATGGTGAATAAAGGATATGATTTTAGTTTTATGTTGTCGCTTTAAAAACTTGCTTTGTTATATATTTCCTTCAATCATAAAAGCTTGGATGTTAAGAGAGCCTATGCTTTTAGGAACATATATAAGATTTAGAAATATCTTTAAAGGTGATTATGAGATGATATGAAATACACTAGTAAGTTGTACCCTAGATATATGTTTGAGTTTTGAGTTTTCCTTCAACATACTTATTATTGAAACAATTATTTTCATCTATAACATTTTCATGTATTCGTCGTTGAAGTAATATAATGTCACTGCTCATCCGCACAACTGTTTGTCTTTAGAGTTTGATGGCGGCTTCTATATATCACTTATTTTCTCTTTTTAATTTTACTTTTGTTATTGTTAATGAATAATATATATATATATATATATATATATATATATATATATATATATATATATAAGATTGTCTGACATTTAATGTGAAAATATAAATAATTTCAATTATTAAAAGGAAGATTGTACTTACTACCATTTTTTCTTATTACCCCTTACTATAATTTTTGATATCGTTGGATCAAACTCAAATCAACGACTCTCACATGATGTTACTTTGTAACCGTTGATTTGATTTTAATCCTACGATAACAAAGCTGGTAATAAGTATAACCTAACCCTTATTAAAAATATGTTATTGAATAATTTATTTAAAAAATGCTTGAGTTGTGTAGTATAAATCGCTTTTTTTCGGGTAATTTCACGACGGTTGTTTCCTATTTTAGGGCTCTTGAAAAATTTTCATTTCATTATCAGCCAAAAGAAATATTAGTTTTTGGATTTATGATCAATATTAAATACCTCAAAATTATCATTTAATTATATAATGAGAAATCATTGGAAGACTTTAATTATTACTCACATAAGAAGTTAAATTAATTTTTTTTAATTACATGCAAAGATATGGTTAAAAATAACGTAAAATATTTTTACATAATCACTTTTTAAAACTATTAATACTCAAAATAAAATCACTATATGTAAGGCATTGATTGGCATTACATACCAGTCAATTCACATTTTCTATTTTTTATAGATAAAACATAAACAAATAAAGAGACAATGAAGTGAGTTATAATTATATAAGTACAAGAGACTGAGAAGTATTTGACGATAATGTACTTAAAATTAAAAAATATTTTATAATTTTAGTTTTTTCATGGTGATCTTTATAAAAAAAATAAGAAAAAATATTTGTCCTTTTAAATAACAGTCATTTTAGTTAAATTACTATTTTTATTTAATATTTAAATTAAAAAAATTCTCTCACTTTCTTTTATCATGATTTCTGTTTCTCTTACTATAAAACACAACATAGTAATTTTGACTAAAATGACACAATTTTTATGTCATTTAAAATGATAAACACTAATTTCAAAAAATAGTGGTGCGTTTATTAAAAAAATTAGAGACTAAATTAAGATAATATTAATAGATTACTTATGGATAGATTACATACGTCATTTTCTATAAAGTAAACTGTGTTGTTACATGTAATAAATTGAAATAGGCTGTTTAATTTAAAATTAGACCTGTGTTCTTCATTAACCCATTAATTATAACGATAGTATTAAAAGGAACAACTTGAAATACGGAAAATTGGCACGCTAAGTGTGTAAGGATTTTTTATTTTTTTTTATACAAATAAAAATTGAACATATAACCTAATACAACCTACTCAAACCCCTCACCTCTAAAACAAACCTAATGACTTGTGTGTAAGGTTTTCCAACCATGTGCTTCCAGTGGTTGTAAAGAGAATGTGGAGAGGTTAGTTAGGATCTTACTTAAAAGATTACGTAATATAAAGAACTGAGAACTATATATATATGTCGCGATGCAGATATATAGCAGGTAGTTAGATCTCTGTCATAATATTATACATTTGATAAGACCCTTTTATTAGATTCGACAACAAAAGCTATATTAGCCACTCCTGATACCAGTGCTGCCACTAGCAATATTGAAATTTTCGTATATATAGGAGCGGATCGTACCGGCGATTAAGTGACCTAAAAAGATTTTGAAATTCCATACTAGGCAAACGTATTAAATAATTACAGACACTTTTCCCCTTAAAATACATTATCATAAAACATCATCTATATTATCTCTCTCCCTTTAAAAACGATGTAAATCCTTTTTAAATTGATTAAATATTTTAATGTTTATTTAACAATTATTTTTTATACAAACAGGAAATGAAAAAAAGAAAAAACAACAAGAAACTATTGCGCACACAATTTGAGTGCAGAAACACCTCTCTACACATCATGCCAGAGGAGAAGGGAGCTTTTGAAATGCGTGAGTGGTAATAATATGTCAATCAAAATATAATAATAATTATTAAGAGAAAATATTTTTACTTTTTCTGTAGAGTTTTTTTTTTTCAATTATATTCACATAAAAGTGAACGAAGAGAGGAGAATTTTTTTTTTAAATAAAATCCATTTATTTTTATATAAATGTGATAAAAAGATTCTTGAAGCAAAAAACATAAATATTATTCCTTTATTATTTTTAGTTTCTGTACATGAGTAAAACAAATCCATTAATTAATATAAGCATGGTAGCTTTGTGTTACCAATAGATTGCCAATATCTCACGTTAGCTTTGTGCTAACTGCTACCAATAGATTGCCAATATCTCATGGTAGCTTTTGAACTAACAAGAAAAGTCGTGGTTTTCATTTTTTTTCAAATTCAAATCAGCAGCCTCTATTTTTACTTAAATGTCTGACGGTCTCAGATGACTTTCGAGCCACATCATGATCAATCATGCATCGCCAGGTCTGGGAAATTTCTTTATTACGGGAAACTGAAATCGGTATTCTTTTTTATTAAAAAAGGAAAAAAAATCATTTTAACCCTTATTTTTTTATATAATTTCTTTTAAGTTTCAAAAAAATTTCCCCTTTTAACATTGATGTACTTACAGCAATTGTACCAAAGGTTTTCTCCGATGTCAGAGGTTTAATTACATCGAAAACAACTTATTCTGTAAAAAACCAATATTAGATACTATAAACGTACTTATCTATTCCAGATGGAGAAAATGAAATATCAAAGCCGCAAGGTTTTTTTATTAATTGTTGAATTTTTTTTATAATAATTACAGTTTATTAAAGTAACAATATTTTTTAAAAGAATGAGAAGGAGTATATATATAGAGTAACAAATTTAATAAATTATTAATAATTAAAAAAATAAGCAATCAGCAGATAAATTTTAAATAATTTTTATGTTAAAAAGTTAAAAAAAAAAGTTGTCTCGTTAATTTTTACGTCTTTCAAACTTATAATTGTATTAATAAATAATCTATCTATAAAGTATTATTAACAATTGAACTCGAAATCTTTTTGCATCCACACAAATTGATTGTAATATATTTAAGCTAAAACTCGTTGGCGTAAATGTAAAATAACTTATTGATAGTATAATAGCAACCACCGAAAATAAAGTAGTCAAATAGATGTTTTTTCCCCCCTTACGATCTGACTGCTTCCACAGTTGCCATATTTAATGTTACGTGGATTTGTTATCATATGTAGTTTATAATGCTTACCCAAAGGGAGAAAGAAAGAGAGACATGGAGTTGACGTATAGCTGACTTTTGCAAAGTAAGAGTAATTCTTTTATCCTTTCGTAGGTGATTGGAGAAATTCTTACATAGAGAATCAAATTAATATTTGCCATGTACAAAGACACGAAAATGAATCATCTAATGTTTTATTTGAAGATCAACAGTAACATAAAAATAAGAAAATGATAATTTAATATGAAGATTTATGAATGAATGACTGAAATTTTTTTAATACAATTTGATTATATGAAAATATGATGATGTTATAAAATGAAATATAGATGATTCATTCCGGAGAATATACTTATTTGTAAGTTGTCATTAAACGTGTGTAAAAATTAGGAGAGTTACGGGGGAAAGAAATATATTAATTTTTAAAATACTTTGACACATTTAATATTGATTTATGTGGCTTGTGCTTAAGAAATTTCCTAGCTATTAAATACAGCTGGTTGTCTTGTCTCTCTATAAAAAGAAAGTTCTAGTTGTGAAGGGTTGTCTCTGCATTGCTAAGAAGGAAGTAAGCGAGAGAGAGATCTAATGAGAATTGAGCTTTATATATAATCTACTTAAAGAAGAATCGATTTGGGTCATTCTCAGAATTCAAAAAAGAAAAGAGAGAAAGAGCTCTAGCTAGCTAGATCACATAACATGGGGAGGCCACCTTGCTTTGACAAAATTGGGATTAAGAAAGGACCTTGGACTCCAGAGGAAGACATCACCTTGGTCTCTTACATTCAAGAACACGGACCAGGGAATTGGAGATCAGTTCCCATCAATACTGGTAATTTATATATATATATACACATAATTAATTAATTAACCTAATTACATATATACTTCTTTAATTTGTTCATTCAGTTTTCATTTCTTTGCTTATAGCTTTTTTGAGCTTCATATATATATATATATATATATATATATATGTATTGTTGGGAAGAGATGTAATAACTGATTTCGTAGCCATTAATTTTTATTTTTATTTTTTTTATTTTATATTTTTCTAGGTTTGATGAGATGCAGTAAAAGCTGCAGACTTAGATGGACTAACTACCTTCGACCAGGTATCAAACGAGGTAACTTCACTGATCATGAAGAGAAGATGATAATCCACCTTCAAGCTCTTTTGGGTAACAGGTACTAGTTACTCTCATGCATCTTTCTACCAGCTGTTTGCTTTGCTTTCTGCAAATATATATTTGCTATTTATAAGCTTCAACATATATAGTAACTCAATTATTACAAGATTAATGAAATGAAGAAACAAATTAAACTCAAAAATATTAAAAGAAAGGAAGTTTTGGATCTGCTGCATGTATTTTAATTTTGCCAATCTTTTTGTAATTAAATTTCTGAAATGAGGTAATAATTATATTAATAATGGTTTGCAGATGGGCTGCTATAGCTTCCTATCTTCCACAGAGGACAGACAATGACATAAAAAACTTTTGGAATACCCATTTGAAGAAGAAGCTCAACAAACAACAAACTGGGACTGAAGAGGGTCTTGAAAAAGAAGGACATTCTAAATCTTCACATGAAAAGGGTCAATGGGAGAGAAGGCTACAAACAGATATTCAAATGGCCAAGCAAGCTTTATCTGATGCTTTGTCCCTTCAAAAACCAAACCATATTTTGCCTGATACAAATCCTTCAGATTCTCATCACCTAACCTTTGATACAAAACCAAACCATGCATCATCCCCATACGCATCAAGCTGCGAAAACATAGCTCGATTGCTTGAAAACTGGACGAAATCACCAAAGTTAACTGATACAAATTCAGGATATTCCTTCAACAATAACATGGTCACGACAGGATCTAGTTCTAGTGAGGGAGCACTGAGCACCACCAACGCATGTACACCAGATCATGGTTTTGATTCCTTAATGACCTTCAACTCCTTCAAATCTGATGGCTCAGTTGAAGAGAACAACAACTTCACAACGAGGGTTGGTCTCTTCCAAGATGAAAGGAGGCCAAACTTGGAGACACAAGTCCCTCTTACGTTGCTTGAGAAGTGGCTTTTTGATGATGGAGCAGTTCAATGTCATGAAGATCTAATGAATATGTCACTGGAAGAAAGTACCGCAAGTTTGTTTTAGAAAGCAGCTCAACCTAGGCACTGAAGATCCCTTGTTATGGCTTTTTTAATTTTAGTGGTAAGAACTCTTAGAAAACTTGAGCTCTTGCAAATGGAACTTTTTCTGGATCTCATGAGTAGGAAGATAACACCCTCTTACTCTACAAACAAGAATTGTACATTACAAGTACATCTTAATTTATCCTTCTTAATTATGCTTTGTACCAATTAATAAGAGTTCAAATTGTGTTTGTATTTTGGACATTAATTATTCACTGTATGTTTCGAATTTAGCGTTTACAATTCATCTAGGGTTACAAAGAATTCCAGCATTATTTATCAATGAAAACTAGATAATTGAAATTTATCTAATGCTTTAGTACCAATCCCTTCGTCTTAAATATGTGTGTGCTTGGATTTATTTATTTTATATTAAAAATAACTTTAAATTAAAATTTATTGAAAGAGCTTTGAAAAAATGTTATTTTTCCCTGAAAATTAATCTACTCCAAATAAAGCACTAAGTTCAGACCTCATGAAAATCCAATGAAGTTAGATTATGGAAAGAAATAAACTAACCCTTGTTGTAGTATTGTGTAGGATACCAATGGATAGATGAATAAAATATAGAATTTATCCAATATTTACATATAGTTAAAAGCGTACTAAAACTTGATATTGGATTATTGATAAATTTTTCATTTAATCGAAGTTTTCCATTTCTTTCTTGCTATCCCATATGCCGAATAAGAATGTTCTCGTCTAATTATAAGCGTTTATGTATATGTATTTTTAGCACTTGGGGTATTGCGTTGTTAGTGAGGACTGAGGTACTGTATTGTCCCCAAGTAATTAATTAGAATAATGATCTTATAAATGGTATCAATTGATAGTATTTTCATTTGATTTAAAACTGTACATCAATGTATCTTAAATAGAATAGGTTGTTACGGCTGTTACCAAACAGTCTGTTACCAAATAGTAAAACAACTTCCTAAAGATAAGTAACTACACCTAATTACAATAGGACTCAGTTATACATATCCTAACAAACTACAGGTTACAACATATCACAGCAAATCATAACAACATATAGAATCTTCTATTCCAACACTCCCCCACAAGTTGGAGCATGAAGACATAAAATGCCTAACTTGGAAAGAACGGCAAGAAATGGAACACGACCAAGTGCTTTGGTGAAAATGTCTGCGAGTTGCAAATGAGAACGAACAAAAGTAGTTCAAATCGTCTTAGAAACCAACCTTTCCCGGACAAAATGGCAATCAATTTCAATGTGTTTAGTTCGCTCATGGAACACAGGATTTGCCGCGATATGTATAGCGGCTTGATTATCACAACATAATTCCATAGGATCATCATGGATAACATCAAGTGAAGCAAGAAAAGACTTCAACCATATCAATTCTGCTATCGCGGCAGCCATGGAGCGGTACTCAGCCTCTGCTGAAGAGCGTGAGACAGTGAGTTGCTTCTTTGTTTTCCAAGAAACAGGTGAGGTTCCAAGCATAATGAAGAACCCAGAAACTGACCGGCGAGTTAAAGGGCAGCTGGCCCAATCTGAATCACAGAAAGCATGAATTTTGAGATCACTTTTGGAAGAAAGGAGGATACCTTGGCCAGGATTCATTTTGATGTATCTTAGTACCCGAATGGCAGCCTCATAATGTGCTTCCTTTGGAGCTTGCATGAACTGTGAAAGAGTGTGCACTACATAACTCAAATCAGGACGAGTGATCGTAAGGTACACTAGCTTGCCGACAATTCTTCTATAGCGACCTGGATCATCATAGTCAGGTCCATCTGCCAGAGCTAAGCGATAATTATGTTCAATTGGAAACTGAACCGGTTTACAATCCAACAAACCTGTTTCTTTGAGGATATCTAATGCATATTTTCGTTGGCACAAGAAGATACCCTCATTGCTACGGGCAACCTCGATGCCCAAAAAATATTTCAAGTGACCCAAATCTTTAATTTTAAAACACTTGTTAAGATAAATCTTAACCTCTTGACATGCTTGGGAAGCATTGCCTGCCAACACCAAATCATCAACATAGACTAGTATGGTCAAGAAGGTAGAACCACGCTTCAAAGTGAACAAAGTGTGATCTGCTTCGGATTGAACAAAACCGTATTTAATAAGTGAGGAACTCAACTTTGCAAACCAATTCCTGGGAGATTGTCGTAAGCCATATAACGACCTTTGCAAACGACACACTTTTCTTCCTTGTCCTTGATTAAAGCCTGCCGGTATGCGCATATACACTTCTTCGTCCAGTTCTCCATTAAGAAACGCATTATGAACATCCATTTGGTGCAAGTACCAACCTTTTGCAGCTGCAACCGAGAGTAGAGTTCTAACACTCACCATTTTCGCTACAGGAGCGTAAGTTTCATGGAAATCTTCTCCTGGAACTTGATGATTACCTGCAATTACCAACCTTGCTTTGTAGCGCTCGATGCTACCATTGGAATGATATTTAATTTTATATACCCATTTACATGGAAGGGCATGTTTGCCTGCAGGTAAATCAGTGATAGTCCACGTATTATTTTCTTCTAGTGCATGTATCTCCTGAGCCATAGCTTTACGCCAAACATCATTGGTCATTGCTTCTTTAAATGACCGAGGTTCACTACCTGCATCAATAGCAGCAACAAAAACTCGATGTTTTGAAGAAAATTGTTAGTATTCACATAGTTGGCAATTGGATACCGTATACCTGAGGTGGAGCTAGAAGAGGTGAGACTGGGAGTGTATGTATGTGCCTCAATCAGATTACATTTGTAGTTACTCAAATAGGACGGAGGCCTTCGTGTGCGTGCTGGACGAAGAGAATCGTTTTGAGCTGATTCTGCACTTCTTTGCACAAGTTCGTGAGCTGAATCTTCATTCCTTTGTACGAGAGCAGGAGCTGGATCCTCACTCCCTTGCACTTGATCAGCATTTGATGTAGAATCTTCATTCGGCTCCCTTTCAGACTGATGGACACTCCCCCTATCTTCCAACTGCACTTCTGCCTCACAATCATTTGAAGTTGATTGAGATACTGGATTGGCAGAATCATTAGAATCTATTGGTATAAATGTAGGTAATGATGGGCTAGGTGTAGGCACACTTATAGCAACAAAAGGAAACTCATCTTCGTGGAAACTGACATCTCGTGACACAAAGAATTCCTTAGTATTAAGATCATACACTCTCCAACCTTTCTGCCCATGAGGATAACCAACAAACATACACCGCCTAGACCGTGGACTAAATTTGTTTGTAGGTTTTGGTTGTGTCACCGCATAACATAGGCAGCCAAATATCCTTAAGTGACTGTAACCAGCAACAGATCCATGCAAAAGCTCATAAGGAGTTTTGCCATTGAGAAGCTTTGTGGGAGTTCTATTAATAATATGAGCTGCTGTCATCACACTCTCTCCCCAGAATTTGATTGGCAAGTTTGCTTGAAACAAAAGAACACGAGACACATTTAGAATATGCCTATGCTTCCGTTCTACCCGACCGTTCTGTTGCGGCGTATGAACACATGATTTCTGATGAAATATACCATTGGCAGTGAATAATTCAATCATCTTGTTGGAAGTAAATTCAGTTTCATTATCTGATCTAATACTCTTAACTATTGTATTAAACTGATTTTGCACCATTAAAAGAAATTTTCGTAACACACCAAAAGTTTCACTTTTGTCACCCATCAAACAAACCTAAACAGCACGACTGAAGTCATCGACTATCGTTAAAAAATAATAAGCACCAGAGAAAGAGGAAGTGCGGTAAGGACCCCATGTATCACAATGAAGAAGATCAAAAATTTTATTACTCTTTCGATCACTAATGGGAAACGAGGATCGATTTTGTTTGGCACGATAACAAATATCGCATGCCTTATTGTTTACATTGCCAAATCGAATGCTACTAGAAAAAGGAATCAGAGAAAGTGCTTCGGATGATGCATGGCCCAACCGCTTGTGCCAAAGTTCTTGCGTATCACTGGAGCAAACTGTTAAAGCTACTGCTTGGCTTGGTCGAAACACATACACACCATCCCTGTGATCACCCAATCCAATCTCCGTCCTCAGCTTGCGGTCCTGCAAAACACAACTATTATTAGTGAATACCACATCAACATTATGTTGTCGTACCAACTGAGATACAGATATCAAGTTACACTTTAAATTTGGCACAAATAAGACATTGGATAATGAAAAAGAAGGAGTAAACGAAACAGATCCTTGTTGCACAGCATAAGTAATAGCTCCATTGGGTAAACCGATTGCCAAAGGTTCAACATCTGTAACATTCTCCAGCAATTCCAATACCCCTGTCATGTGGCGTGATGCACCACTATCTATAAGCCAGTGACAATGGGAATCTTTACGATTTAATTTGTCCTTTGAGCGTTGCGGGTTGTCAACCAATGATAACAATTGTGTCACCACGTCAGGTGTCAAAACGGCGAATGCATTTGCTTGCTCTAGTGGTTCCTCCGTTTGAGCTGCGTGTGCACCAAATGGCTTTGCATGGAATCCTCCTTGTGGGTTACTGCTCCTATCACCACCGAAACGTCCACGTCCTCGTCCAGGTCCTCGTCCTCTGCTACCACCACGTCCAGGATAGCCAAATGCTTGCCAGCATCGAGAGGCTTCATGATTAGTTTTCTCGCAGTGAATGCATGGAGGACGTTCAACAAACTTTTCCCAATTCTCTTAGTTGGCTTCTCCTCTCAGCATAACGGTTGTTAAAAGAATCCCTGGGCTATCTGATCCAGTCAGATAGAATGGTGATCCAGGGTCTGATGGCTTCAACCTGCTGCTGTTTTCATTGGCCATCTTCAACAGAAGCTATCTCATGCTCACTGTTTTCAGAGTCTACACGTTGCAGAAGTTTTTTTTTTTTTTTTAACAAGGGATCGCTCTGATACCATGATAAATGGTATCAATTGATAGTATTTCCATTTGATTTAAAACTGTACATCAATGTATCTTAAATAGAATAGGCTGTTACGGCTGTTACCAAACAGTCTGTTACCAAATAGTAAAACAACTTCCTAAAGATAAGTAACTACACCTAATTACAATAGGACTCAGTTATACATATCCTAACAAACTACAGGTTACAACATATCACAGCAAATCATAACAACATATAGAATCTTCTA